GTCCCTATGTTGTTTTTTTATTTAAAGTAAGAAACTAAGATAAAAAACGAACTGACTCGGAGGCACGAAAAAGTGTGTCCACGTTTTTAAAAGAAAAAGAAAAAAAACTAGAAAGGGGTATGTTAATGTCATTATCTTTTATGAAACAAACATGAGTCCTTGATGTGGGTTCCTCACATGTGGTTTGTTATGTTTTGTGTTTGCGGAATGAGAAGCTGAAGTTTCAAAGTGGAAATTAAACAGATTTAAAGGCCTCGGGGCAAAGAAAGTGAAAAGTTACAATCGGATTAGGTCAAAGTTTGCCCAGTTGTGTGTCTGCACGTGGGCCGATGTGTTGTAACAGGACATTCAAAGTGTTTTTTGGAATACATCAGCTCTTTTAGCAATTATGGGCGACAGGGGCAGGAAAGCATCATATTATCTCTGTTGTCTTGTCAAACGTTTATTATTAAGTATCTTTACTTACAGACTACATCCAGTCTGAGCTGTGTAACTTTCACACCAAACACTGATATATTTCAAAAATGTGTGTGTATGGGAAAGCTGCAGCCTCACGTTTCACTTTGTACTGGGGATAAGAGAGCATTTAGAAAAGAACAGCTTAAGCCTGCTGTGTGGCAGTAAAGCGAACAGAAACTCTTTCTAATGTTTTAATCGTGAAGTATTTACAACCATGTTTACTTGACAAATAACACATAAAGAAATTCAATTATTCACCAGGTTCAGGTCGAGCGACAAGTGTTGCTGCGATTCTGCACCACCATGCACTTTTTTAACTTGGTCTAATACTTCATGTCTTATTTTCATAACATCTTGGTCGTCCTGTCAAAACATCTGCAAACCTCTGTCGGGTGCCAAGAAGCCACCTGCTGAAAAACACCAAGCAGAGGTTAAAGTCCGCAGGGACCCGGCAGCTTGTTTTCAACCGTCAGGGAGGCAGGATTCCTCAATGACATGTTGTATCCCATCCTAACTGTAACATCCTCCCCACAGGGTAAATAAAAACTCAAACTTAGTGTGTGTGTGAGTGTGTGTGTGTGTGTGTGTGTGTAATCAGAAAGAGATATATGATTTACCCTGCTCAAAGGAAAGAGCCTCCATTGACGTACTTACATGCACAGCTCATGTGTTTAGGCAAGAGAAAGACACAAATGCATGAGTGCATGTGAAAGTCTGTGAACTGATGTGTGTTTGTGTGTGTGTGAGAGACTGTGTGAGTGTGTGCACGTGTGCAGCAGATAGCCTCTGTGTTTATTTAGTTTGAGGTGACAGCAGGAAGGAAGGCAGGTTAACGAGCTGCCGGCTCCAGGCACCCAGGCACATGGTGATTACGCAATCTCAGCCAACTCCTCTTTTCCACACACACACACACACA